ATAAATATAAAATCTCTTAAGAGTTTAGGCTACCCACTCCGCAGCCACCAATCAATGTGATGGCTCCACACCATTAAGCCATTAGACCTGCATAGACTATTAACGCTGCTTTATTGGCCAAAGCTGCTGAATGACATAATTTTGCCTAAAACTGCCCCAGTTTGTCAATACAGAACTGACAACTGTTTATTGAAGGGTCCATAAAGCCTGCCAAAGGCATTGAAACAATAAGGGTTGATGATGAATAACAGGATTAGAAAAAGACAAACTCCACCAAACACATCGAGGCAATCCCACCCAAACGAGTCTCAGGTTCTAAAACAATCAATGTTCTACTGAAAGATAGAACATTGGTTGACAATACGATTCATAGCCACTATAAAACTGTGCACAAAGTCTCACATTAAAGACACCTAAGACTTGGTCGGAAACAGGAGAACGAGTTGTGTTTTGAGGTAGCGGCAACCAGAGATCCCCTTGTGTGACACAAAGCGCGGTAGCAGCGGGGTGGCATGTCACCAGTGGTGAGGTGGACGTTTCGCTGGATGGACTGTGTGTCTGAGTTCACACATGTCTACCTAAAAAGCAGATGCTCCCATAGATCTGATACAAAACATGCTGCTAGTAGCAAGAAACACTCATTGGCATAAAAATAAATCATTTCATTATATAAAAAAATGCCATGCAAACATGTAATTTATGTTTAAATAAAAACAGAATTTCCTTTTTAGCTATTTGGTTAGTTAATCTATGAAAAAAGGATGTGTTACTCTAACTACAAAGTCAGACCATTCAAAAAAAATTGAGCTAATTTCCAGTTGGTCTGCTATCAGATATTATATTAAATGTAAACAAGAGGCAAAAGGTAAGAAAAACTGGTGAAATGTGATAGCAAAAAATGGTTCAAATGTGTGGGACTGTAATAGTTATTTAGCAATGAATAACACATTTTGCTTGCTCTTCTATATTTACATACATATGGTTATATTTGCAAAACTAAACAAAAAAGGTTTGTCTTAAGTCAATCAGCCAAATTGTTTTGATCAGCAGGTCAAATAAATGGAAAAAATAAATTTCCCTCCCCATCCTGAAATTACCCGAAAACAAAGAAAACAATAATTTCTGGTATTTAACTTTGATGCAATTGTTGGAGTTTACTAAAAATCAGTAAGGATGTCACTATTGATTAAATGCTATTACCTCGACCATTGTTTTTTTTTTTTTTTTTTTTTTTTTTTTTTTTTTTTTTTTTTGTAGATGTGTATTTTATTCAATATTAGAGTAAAAAAAGGAAGAAGAAAATTTGAAATCTGTCAAAATTCAAATCAGGTCAGGCAAAGAAAATTGGAAATTGGTGTTGGCTGGGAAACGCATTATCAGTTCATCTGTTAACACAATTTTGCAACACCTCTCCCTGCGGTTTTGTCTCTGTCCAACTAATTTAAAGGACTCTAGGGGAAGGAGACATAAATGGATTAAAGGTTAATATGAGTTTTTTAAACCTATTGCTACCGTTCAAGATTGTGTTTTGCAGTACTGAACTTTTTGATTTAACGCCATGTCTTGTCAACGCCCCAAGTCTAAATATGTGATTATCAAACATAAAATTACATTCAATATTTTGACTTTAACTTGGGTTTACAGAGGACTGCTGGAAATTGCAGTCAAGACTACGAGGTGGCAGCGACTTACCATTTAGCGAAAGTTAGCAGAAATGGCTAGCGTCCTAAGCTAAGCTAGCCGTGTTCGGTACGCAAAATCCAATACCTAAAAACCAATTCCACCAATAAAATGGGTGATTTTTTTTAAAGATTATTGTGATCTAATAAGTCAGGGCATCTATCCGGACAAACAAAATCAGCAAACAAAAAGAAACATCGCCAGCTAAGCTAAGCTAACGTGTAAAGGGGTCCCATTCCTGTCAGGAAAATCAAAACAAACGTCCCTCCAAGCATAAATCTGACACCCAAATCTTCCGCTGCAGTGAATAAACCGGCCCTCCAAACAGACCATCATAGTCAAATCCAGCCTACTCAGTAATTTACATTATCACTGTACAGCTATTAGCCAGATGATGTCCCCTTGTCCGATAACACGCCTATTTTTCTCTGTTTGTTTTGGGCCTAAGCGAAGCTCAGGAGTCCAGGCCGTTTTCCTGCTTTGCGGACCCCATGACAGTGAGAGAAACTTCGGCCCCGTTGGCCCACCACGTCTGCTTTCCGATGTATTGTTCCGACACAATGGTCTATTTTTATGTATCTACCCCCTCCTTACCTGGCGCACTGCAGTCAGCGCAGACTTCAGTCCTGTGCAGCTTCCTTGACATCTCGAAAGTGGCTGAAACCGAGAGGTGGATGTCTGAGCCGATGTGAACGCTCGCTCCGTCTTTCCTCCCCCTCGAGCCACCGATCGACCGACGTCTGCCGTCAATCGCTTGCGGCTCCTGAATCCCCGGAAGCCGGGTGGCGTGGTTTGCTTTCCCGGCGGCCTGAAAACTGATTTTCCAGTTGCTTCGTGGCTCTCTTTCTGAGCTGCAAGACTAGAGCCAAGTTAAGTGAACACAGTTAATGTCAATAAATGAATCGCATCTTGCTAAGAAGCTACATGCGTTAAATTAAATCTGGCCCCTGCATTGCCTGAGATTCACCGAGAGACGGCAGCTCTCCACCTGCCACTTCGTCTGTATGGTAAGCTGTTTGCATCATTATTGGTTCGAAGTACCCCTATTTCTTTTCTACTTAGTCCTATTTTGTTCCTTCGTAATTGAATTTTGTACCAGTAAATAAACAATTTCGTATCAGTGTTCGATGTGGCATTTTAAAAATAAATTAAATATGTAAAATTATATTTAAAATCCTGAAATTTCAATTGATTTGTGCTCCAGTCAATTTTGGTTGAGTTTCCAATGTCAGTTATTCCACTCTTATCAAATGGGCCAAATTATAATCTTAGGTCTAAGCCAAAATAGAAATGTAGTAAATGTTATTTGTTGGATGGCCATGTTTCTTTGCAAAAGTTAATGAATAAAATATGGCAAGTTACTATCAGTTGTCAAAACAAGTAAACGTAACCTTGGTGTCTTCTCTTTCGGCTTTACTCTTCAGGGGTCGCCACAATACATTATCTGTCTCCAATTAGTCTTATTGTCTCCATTTTGTTCTCTCACACAAACTAACTTCCTTTCCTCTTTCACCACATTCAAAATCTCTTTTGTTAACTTGCCCTCATCCTCCTGGCTCCAACCTCAGCATCCCAAAGACAAACTCAACATTTTGAACTCTGCCGACAGTCTTTTCCTCCGACTCTAAACTACACAACAGCACAAGTCTCACTACTGTCTTGTGCACCTTTCCTTTCAGTCTTGTTGATCCTCTTTTGTCACACATTACATCTTTTATCACCTATCCCAACGTGCTTGCATATGCTTCTTCACTCTTTTTCTTCACTTTCTGTCACTCTGGATCATTAAGCCTAAGTACCTAAAATCCTATTCCCTCTTTATGTCTAATCCTTGCAGCGTCAGTGTTCTACTTGTGCCGCTCCCATTTACACACATGTACTGTATCTTGTTGTGAGTATTCTACAGCCTGTCCATCACCAAAGCAATCAGGAAGGGGCTTAGTGCCAATCCTTGATGCATTCCAAACTCCACCTTGAATGCCTATGTCACTCCTACAGAACACCTCACTTACAGCTATGATACATGTCCTACACCACTCTAACTTCTCTGCCAGTCCAGGCTTTCTCCTACAACACCACTGTAGATGATACATTTTCATACCAGGAAAGTCAAGCATGAGATGACTAGATTTCAGTGAATGAAATGCTGCTCTTTTGTCCAAATAGTATGAGCACGAGTTCCTCAACAGAGGCACAAATGTCCCAAACAGTATTACTATTTTTGAAACACTTGTCAACAACTGGCTTAAACTACTCTGGTCTAAACAATAAATTGATTACAAGAAAATGTGAAATTTGTTTCCAAGAAAAGATAGGGGGATATGTTTTCTATTGTAAGTCTATTATATTGCTGAGGGACGGGAGCTGGACAGAGTCTACTCTGAGCAAGTTTTGTCTGATTACAACTTTATACCAACAGCTCACCATTACCGGCTGCGAGTGTACTCTTACTGATTCTTACATTTTTAGGATGCTATGGGTCATTGGGGAACTTGAGGGCAGATTGTCTTTAAACTTCTAAATTGGGGTTTCCTATCAACTAATTTACTAGTCAAACACTGTCTTTGAGTCACTCCAGTCTACTCATGAACAAGTATAGCTGCTATTATTTGTATGCTACCAGTGTGTTACCTTGCCTTTTCTTGAAGGACAACTGTTCCCAGCAAAGAGTTAATATTTCGCAAAAGAAAATCACTGTTATGAGTTAGTTTTATTATATATTTTTTTTAAGTAGTGCTCCAAAATATTTAACTGAGCAAACATCTTACTTGTGAAGTGCACAAGACTAATAACAAGCATCAAGAACTATTATATATACCAATGGCTTGCCATAGTACCCAACATCCATGGGGGGACAGGGTGGGTCGATCCTCTCATTCCTCGCGTAGGCTGGATGAACTCCTATCCCTACAGGCATCAAGTTGCCCCAATTAAAAATTGCAAAATGGAAACTGCCTAATACGATTGGGACTAAATATTTTCTAAGCTTATAACTGCGTATAGTCCTGTTTTGTCATCCATTTGTACAAAAGAGATTTACTAATCCATACATGTGACATCATTACTAGTAAATAAAACACACTCACTGTCGCGTTGTTGTTGCTTTTAGTTAATAAATGAAAAGTGTAGCACATTCACAAATAATAATACAAAAATACAAAAAAATGGGCGACAAATGGGTTTAATTTTAAAAACGGGTAATTTGTGATTTGGATTGCTGGTTATAGTCCTTAAGTCATGTGTTTTACTCACATCCCCGACAGCGGATTGGCTGAGTGTGAGCACATTTTTTTTATTGCAGCTTGTCAGTGCATCTTTCTCAGTCACCACCACCGGATGGGAGGAGAGGCGGAGGATAGATGTGTTAGAGGAGGAAGAGGAGCGAGAACGGCAAAGGAGTGGAGGAACGAGTCGAGAAGAACTCCAGGTGTATGATTTTAATCTGCTGAGACAATCAAGACAGGAGTGTTGCCTCTTTCTCATGATCTCTACATATTATTGAAAATTTCACTTTATGTCAAGGCGAGCGAGTGTCGGTTCGCTCACTCCTGACGCGTAAGGTTACACGCCTTTGGGCATCACCGTCGATGAAGGATGGTGGGCACGACTATGTAGGGGTAATCTCACCACAAAGTATTGTTGCGAACTGCCGAGGAATAAACGAAGGGGAGGGGGGGCAAACTATGATCCGAGGATGATTTCTGCAAAGAAAACTCTGGAGGAGAGTCGTTATCCTGTCCACTATCTGGTGTGGCACAACAAGCACCGTCAGCTGGAGAAGGAGCTGGCAACCAGCGAGCAGGTAAGACCGAGAAGAGCGATCCAAGCCCTCCTATTCTGCCTCTCAGACATGGCCCTGCTTCAATATTCTCTCCCCGATGCGTGATTTTACATTGCTGTAAAGGGGTGGCGGTTTCCACGCCAGTCGTGGAGCGTTTCGTGTGAGAAACCCGGCCAATATTAGCGCAGTTAATTATTATCAGTAGGGTGGAGGGAGACACTTGTAGACTATATAGTTTGTGAAACTGCAATTCAGTCATGCAATGTTCCGATATGCATTAGATGTCAATATATGCCACAGACGCTCCTGATGTTTGAAATATCCACCCTGCTTGCCTTTTTAAAATGCAGAAGTTGTATCTGGACTTTTTTTTTTTTTTTTGGCCCCCAACCAGCTGCACCTTGCAAATTCAGAGTGGCACCTGATGGTGTTCCACTGTGTAAATGGGTGTGTGGGTGTGTGTGTGTGTCACAGTCAGTGGGTCTTAATTTGTGTGCATACAAGCAGCATTATTGCCCTGTCTACTCCAAACTGTGCAGGCTCTCCACCTTCCCACCACAGCATCCAGACCACTGGTGAGTGGGTGAAACAATGCAGAGGCTGATGGGTAATGTGGGCGAACAGTTGCCAGCCAGCTCAACGCATATGAGCAATAAAATGCCATAAAATAGTACATTTATTTCCCTATGTGTGGCTTATGTTACTGTCAGAATTGTCCTTGGAGTCAATAAGCAGAGCACGGCAGACGTAAGAATGACACTATTTTGGTTGTGAGAGCCAGAGGGAGGCTAATCAATGCTTGGGATTTTTGTTTTTTTTCTAAATGCACTGAAGCGCTTACCTGTTACACATGAGATGCGCTGCAGGTTTTAGGGCTCAGCATTATGAAGACAGGACAACACACTTCATCACGTGTTCAGGTGGATTTACCCACGCACATTTATGCACACTTACCTATTTCTGCACATATGTTTTACCTTTTGTGCTCAAAATCCTACGCCAAGAAGCTTCTTCATTTACACCACAGCTGCTTGAAACTATGATAAATATGTAACTCTTAACTGTTGATTAAGATCACAGTCACAGTGACTTCTCTAATGTAGAAGTTAGTGCTAAAAAATTTTGTTCCGTGAAATATGTTTTGTAGCAGTTGCTGTTGATTCACCAAGAAACGTGCACTGACTATGAAAACACACGTGTAATTAAGGAAGAAGTTCTTGAAGGAGTTCACGAATGACAAAGTTTTGACAGAGAAAACTAAAAAAATGCTTGTTTTGCTTTGTGTGTATTTGATTGGATGGCATCAGAGAAAGCACTCAGACTTGGAGGGGGGATTTTAACTGGTCTTTGTGAACACTGTGGTGGACGAGAAGCTTTTGACATGGATTCTATAGTGTTGGAGTTTGATTCCAGTCTGGTCTGATCCTTTTCTCAACTCAGTTGCAAAGTGACTTGTTTTTCCTGGATGCATCTCAGTACAACATGAAATAAAAAAATAAATAAGTAAATGAATACAAAAAATGTCTGAGATAACTTTTTGTATCCTTCCCCTAAACAACTGTGTTGAGCAATCTTTGTTTTCAGATCATTTGAGAGTTGTTTTGATGTGCCCATGATGCCACTCTTCATGGGAGATCCAGACTGGAGAACAACTTGCAATCAGCCACCTTAAATACCTTTTCTCATGATTGGATACACCTGGCTATGAAGTTCAAAGCTTAATGAGGTTGCCAAAACAATTTTGTGTTTCAGTAAGTCAGTGAAAAGTAGTTAGGAGTATTCAAATCAATTAAATGATAAGGGTACCCAAATTTTTGCACCTGTCAAATTTTGTTTTTATGCATATTGCCCATTTTCTATTAGTACAATAAACCTCATTTCAGTACTGAAATATAACTGTGTACATCAGTTATTAGATATATCAAACTGAGATAGCTGTTGCAAACACCCAAATATTTAGAAATAAAAATAATAAAGATTAATGGGGGTGCCCAAACTTTTTCATATGACTGTATATATATATATATATATATATATATATATATATATATATATATATAGATCTACCACACCAGACAAGACCCAAGGTGTAGGTTGTGCAAGGAGGCCCCTGAGACAGTCCAGCACATAACAGCAGGGTGCAAGATACTGGCAGGGAAAGCGTACATGGAACGACATAACCAAGTGGCAGGCATTGTGTACAGAAACATCTGTGCAGAATATGGACTGGAAACCCCGAGATCAAAGTGGGAAACACCCCCAAAGGTGGTGGAGAACGCCAGAGCTAAGATCCTGTGGGACTTCCAGATCCAGACAGACAAAATGGTAATGGCGAACCAACCAGACATTGTTGTAGTGGATAAACATCAGAGGAAAGCCGTTGTGGTTGATGTAGCAATACCAAGTGATTGCAACATCAGGAAAAAGGAGCACGAGAAACTGGAGAAATACCAGGGCCTCAGGGAAGAACTGGAGAGGGCCTGGAAGGTGAAGACCACAGTGGTACCTGTGGTCATCGGGGCCCTCGGGGCAGTAACCCCCAAACTGGAGCAGTGGCTACAACAGATCCCAGGAACAACATCAGACATCTCAGTCCAGAAATGTGCAGTCCTTGGCACAGCCAAGATACTGCGCAGAACCCTCAAGCTCCCAGGCCTCTGGTAGAGGACCCGAGCTCAGAGGATAAGAACCACCCGCGGTGGGTGAGAAGGACATTTTTTATATATATATATATATATATATATATATATATATATATATATATATATATATATATATATATATATATATATATATATATATTTGTTTTTTTTTTGTTTTGTTTTTAATATGTGGTCCTAAATTTAACATGTAACTGATTTAGATCAAACAAACCCGAAAGGGCACATTACCTTTAATCCACCTTTCACATTAGATGTGACAATTTTCCACTGAAAGAGGTCGGAAGATCAAATGCAAACAATGGACAAAACAAGCATGGCAGATGCTGTGACTTCTGTTTCATTTCATTACTTCACACTCACACCTTTATACAGAGTTCTAGGTTTCTGTTTTGTTTCTTCATTTACACTCCATGATAAACAACATATGGTAATTTGAATGTCCATTAATGCTTATCAGATCCAAATGTCTCTCGGTGGTCACATAAAAATTATGTTGGCAACAGATGAAAGACAAGATTTTTGCTTAAATATTTGGAATTACGTTCTCCATTGTGAAAGTAGCCTAAGGTGATAACTCCTTAGCAACATCTTTGTTAGCTGAATGCTAACATTATTCTATCCAGGCAACAAGGCAACAAAGTATGTCTGTTGTAAAATCTGTAATTGATGCTGTGGTAATTTGACCAAGTGTCAGTGCTAAAATCCAAAGGAGCGAGGGAATAGGGGAACTGTACAAGAGTTGGTTATCATGGAGCCTGGACGAAAGTTGATCAAGTATTCGTGACCAGGAAATATGTTTAGATAATGGATGATAGCATACAGACCTTCCTCTCTATCAACACCAGAACATTTATGTTCACCATTTTTGAGGTCATTGTTAGATCCAATTATTTAAAAAAAAAAGAACTTCAAGTATGTGATTCGAGGTTCTGCCAATCCCCAAAGAAAATCTTTCTCTAGTTTACCAGCATTGTATTAGCACCATAATTCAAATGTATCTTCATAAATTTTCAGTTATTCTTCCACAGGTATTATATTTTTGGGAAAAGCATCAAGTGTTTTCAGTAAAGTCAGTTGAGTGAGCTAAGAACTGTCAGTTGGTTTTGCTGGTGCATGGAAATTTAAGAATACCTTTGCAGTGAAAGCCACAGGCTGTGGTGTGGGGCAGTGGCTTCCAGTAAATCTAACAAAGAAGTATTCATTGCATGCTTTCTCTGAATTTTCATAATGAGATGCCATAATCCCAAGTAATGTTTTATATATGTGTGGGTTGTTACTGAAGTACAACTTTAATTAGTTAGATTATTCATGACAATGAAAGGCAGCTATGGTAATTTACTGAACTGAATGGTAAAAGTCATAGTTTCAAGCTCCTGTGGGGAACAATAAAACTGTAGCTTATATTATTGTTTTTGAAACAACTTAAAAAAAAAACTGCTCAATGTTTCAACACCAAAATGGAAAAAGTATACAAAATCTCAAAAGATTTTGTCCTTTCTTTTTGTTTAGTTTTTGGGGTTTTGAATTTTTCTTTCTTTATTTTTTTTAATGTTAGCTCCTGGCCATTTCAACTCCTCAGGCTGATAATTATCTGTTTCCATCTTCTAATCAGTTATACTGCCCCATCATGTTTCATGGGGACTGTCTGGAAAGACACGGAGTCATCCAAAGAACAAGAAAATCCAGACTACTGCATATTAAAATGCAAAAACTGCTAAATATAACTTTGTTTTGTTAATATAGGTACAAATACCCTCTATTCAGTAAGGTAGTAGGCTGTGGAACAAAGCAGGTCATGAATGAAAGCTTTGTTTCTTTTCATCACCCTGTTTTCTCTGTTTGACTTTCTACATCATTCGCATTGCCATTTTAACTGTGAAGTAGAAAAAGTTCTTCTGCATGTTTTAACATTTCAGATCTACTAAAAGCTCATAGGTGAGATTAAACATAAGATTAGCGTATAACAAACTTCAGAAATCATTGATAATTCGTGTACTTTTCAGTAAACTGTGAGTGGTGAAATGATCTGGGACAGTAAGCATAATACACGCTAAATCCAAAATGTTGTCTTTGGAAAAAAAAAAAAAAAAAAAAGGAAAACCACACACAGATGCAAATTAGTGTTTTGGATAAGTGGTACGTCATTGGCTTATATCAATTTAAATATAGTTTTACAACACAGGGAAACAAATTTAGTCCTAGTAAACTCCATAACTTGGAATAGAATAAAAAAAATTAGAATATGAGTTTGGTTCTATAATAATGTTTAGTAAATATAAATTATTTTATGCCCAAATAAGTTATCAGGAAAATATGTCATTTTTCAGTTTGAGTAAGGCTTAGTTGACCTTTTGTGCT